GGGGGTCCCTTGGCTGTCAATTGCACTCACCAAAAAGTGGCCGTGCCACTTCCAGAAGTCCCATGGCTGGCGCTCACAGGGGAGGCACTGGTGCTCCTGCCTGCCCCCCTGCCTAAATATGGAGCATGGCCTAACAGGGACTGCACCAGTGCTCTCAAGGGGTGCACGTGCACCCCCATATACCCCATACACGTCGCCACTGCATCTGCTCTTGGTAGGGGATTTACATATAGATAAGATCAACAAGAACAACCATACTGTAAGATGAACGTATCTTGGATAGTTAGGGTCAAATTTTTCCATGTTCCTATGCCCCAATTAGCTGCAGTTGCTATAACAATCTCTTTATGGCTATTTGCTGATGATCTCAATTAGAGTAACCTGAAGACTGTTAAATTATGCCTGGGGACTGGGCTGGTGCTCACATATCCCAGAAACAGGGAAGTGTAAAATGTGGCTTAAAGCCAGCATTTGCACACATAGCTCATCTAGTGCCCCATGGCTACAGATAAGGTTTGGGGCCTTCAATGTCTAAAACCAGATTGTAATTTTCAACAACAGATGCACAAGACAAAGAAAACTATAGTGCTGTGCACTCAGAAAAAAAAGAGCAAAACCCTCTAGGTTGAAATGGAGCCTTGTTTGGGACCACTTCATTTTCAGTACTGATGACTAATTACATATTCACTTTGGTTGATGAACCTGTATGCAGGTGGGTGGGCAATATATGGGTCTCTTATCTATGCTAGCTGGGGGCAGAGACAAGCAGACATGAAGGGAGAAGGTACTTGTGCATGATAAAAGCATTGTGCAAATTATATCATTCTCAGAGCAAGGGGGATCCAGTGAAGGAATCACTAGAGCTCCTGAAGGTATGCAGTTTTATATCCTCTACATGGAGGCATTCTCAATTAGAAAGACAAATACACGATTTCCTGTCATAAGCCAACTCACTTAAATAAGTTTTTTTTATAATCATGGCTGTAGTCTAAAGTAATTTTATTTGTCTGAATTTTTAACCTTATGCTCCTGTTCCTCTGTATTACTCTGCATCCAGTTTAACATATGATGGTGAAGTGCTATTAATTTGGGGTTGGTTTCATGCTTTTTCTGCCTGCTAAACTGTATGATGTCCAGCTGTCTCCAAATATTATCCAAACAAGAACCAAAGATGCTTTTATAGATATCCTTTGCCTTGGACAAATACCCTGTTTAAAAAGAGACAAGTAATTATTTAAATCTGACATTTCACAAACTTTGCAATAGCAAAAGGGGAAAAAAAAGAAAACTGTTCTGATTTCCTTACTCTGCACAACTTTTTCCTTCATTTAAAGGTGACGTATAAAGGAAAGCTGAACATTTGGCCATGGATAAAAGTATTTGCAGAATACTCCCATTACTTGGGTCCTGGACTTTTTAAGCATACAAAAAACTTCTTAAAAATCCATCTAGCTCTTCCTCTACTGGCTGACTGCAGACTGCCTCTTGATATTCCAGAACATATCATTATGGAATTTCAGATACTGGACAATTAAGCTGTGATACTGAAGCAGCCTGTAGGGATTTTTCTTATATGCCACTTCCTTCAGAGCTCTGCACTTTCACGTACAATACACTAAAAAGTTTAAATTATCTGCATCCCAACTGTTGGCTCATTATCACAGTTATTTTTAATACCTGTAATGTGTCTGAGAGATGCACTTCATGTATCAACAATTAAACTGAAGCAGACCAGGAGACTTCAAGTTATAATACGAGAGTATTTAAGAAAGTAATGGTAATTTTGAAATAAAGCATTCTTCTGCTCCTGATATTTATTCTCCACTTGAACACTGACTTTTGGGGCTGTGAATCTTCATAATGGAGGCCATGTGTGTATTCTGATAAATCTGTGCATGAACTCATATTACACTGTAATGGAAATGAACACGTGAAATAGGACCTTGTGATTTCAGGTGTGAAATAAGAAGGAAATCAACTCTTATATCCTGATCCTTAATTTTACCAGAGCGGGCGAAACAGATGTAGAAACTGATGTCGTCTTTGTGCCACTATAAACACTGGCACAAAGGCTAAGCAAACATATCCATACCTCTTGTCATGCTACAAAAACCCAAAACTTGTGGCTGCGACAGGTAGTATCAATTTCTGCTGCTTTATTGTGGCTAGAGGTGTGCGAAGCAGGCTGTATTTGATTTGGATTTGGATTCAGCCCGATTCAGGGGACAGTGATTCTAGTCGCTGATTTGGATCACTGTTTCAATTTGATTCAGCCGAATCCAAATCTGAAGATTCGATTCTGATTCGGAGAATCAGTGATTCAGCCATAGACACAGCTTTATATGTTTTTTCTATGTACCTTGAGGTACCAGGCACAGCTTGTGAACGTTGAGATGGTGGGGCAGATGGAGTGTCCCACTGGAGCGTGGGGGCCCCCTCATGCTTGGTGGCAGACCCCCCCCCTTCTGTGTCTCCCAGCTCAGTGATCAGCTGTGGGGGGACTCTGGGTGCCCCTCCAGACCCAGGAGGCACCAGCTGCTGAGCCAGGGGGCAGGTCCCCTGCGCGCTCTGCAGCGGACTCGGAAGTGGACCGGAAGTACTTCTGGTCACCTTCAGGTCCGCCGCTGAACGCACTGAGGACCCCCCGTGCTCCTGTGGGATGCTCCATCTGCCCCACCATCACAGTGTTCACGAGCTGTGCCTGGTACCTGGAGGTATATAGAAAAAACCTATAAAGCTATGTCTGTGTCTGAATCATCGAATCTCTCTGAATTGAATCGGAGGCTTAATGGGTCTCCTGATTCGAGTCCGATTCAGAGATACGGTAGCTGAATTGGGCCGAATCCTCTCTGAATCAAATCGGTGACTGAAGCTTCACACAGCCCTAATTGTGGCAGACATTTGTAGGTTTATGGTGGGAGAGCACTGTCAGCCTAGAGCCACCTGCACTCTCCAGCCACCCCAGGCTAGTGGTCTTGGGGCTTCAGGGGCCTGATCCTGCATGCCCTGGGAATTTCTGCACAGGATCAGGCTCCTTGAGACTTGTGGGTGCCTGCCCAGCTTTTCCCTCTTCCAGAGGCAGCTCCTGAGGGCATGTCTCAGTAAGTGGGGAAACCCCAACTTTCCCCACTTACCAAGATATGATCAGGAGAGTGGTAAGTATGAAAAGCTGGCCAGGTGCTCCCAGGGCTTGAGAGCTCCAGTCCTGCTCAGGAGTTCTCAGGGAGCACAGGATTGGGACCCTCAAGTACCCAGAATACTTGTCTGGGGTGGCTGGACAGTGCAGGCTGTGACAATATGGATGTCTGTTTCCTTGGCTTTAGTGCTGCCATAACATTTTTTATGGCAGCACAAAGGTGATGAAAGGCAATGTCTAATTTCACAGGTAGGGTCTGTTTGTTTCTCCAGTGGTTGAGACCCCTGCAGAGAAGCTGGTCCTGTCTACAGAAGACTGCATTACAGGAAATGACAGGATAAAGCTAGGTGAGGCACCCACCATTGCCAGTCTCAACCACACCAGAAGCAGAGATCTTAAGAGCAGCAGCAGGGGGTGCTCCCTACATGACTTTACCAACTCTTCCTGTGTTTGGTGCCTGCGTCATGGAAGCAGGTGCACAAGGCCACACATATCACTGATGTTCTCTGGGATACCTGGGAAGCAGTACAGACATACCTTTAGTCACAAAAGAGTATATGAATTCCAACTGGGTGTACACTATTCTGAACACTAAACATTGAACAAAGCAATCATTGTTGATAGTCATTTGCTTACGTCATTTTTTCATGTTTCCCAGTTAACTCAGAGATAACAATGCAAAATTCAGTATTCAGGGAGTTTGAGCAAAACCAGATATAACGCAACTGTGTGAAATTGTCTTGGCTGTTTCTTGGCTAAATCTGTGCTGTACTAGCACTTTTGCTGCTAAACAGCATTTTTTTACATGTCAGTCATACCTACCAAAGAAAGGCAACTTGCCCTGAATTGGTGTTTAATGAGTGTACAAAAGCAGTGAGGCAGAAATAGGTTGAAGCTGTAAGATGAGATGTGATAAGAGTCTAATGATAGATATCCCAGAGTCAAGACTGAAACAAAGATTGGAGGACTCCATGGCATATTGCAGGAATGGCCAGCCTGCAGCATGAGTACCACAAGTGGCACAGGTAGACTGTGTGGCACCTGGCAGATTAGGAAGCAGACAGACAGCACAGCAGCCAACAGAACAGAAAGCAGAGGAAGGGATCAGGCAGGGAGCCCACGGTAAGAAGCAGAAAGCAAAGGAGGGGGCTGGGCAGGGAATACAGAATAGGGAGCAGAAAGCAGAGCAGCAGACTGGCATTTGGGGTGGGGTTGGGTTAATTTGTTATATACCTGCCAAAAAGGTTGACCGACACCCACCCTCCTCCCCCCAGCATACTGAATATCAGAGAGAGGTATGGCATCAAGCTCGACTATACTGAATATCAGCCAGCAACATTTTGGTGGTAACCTACCATGCTGCAGAGATAATAAAGAGGGAATACACCTGTTTGTTGTTAATACTAACCTAATGCTCTGTCCAATTCACACATTAACAGGAGATCTCTAACTGTTACCAGTAGGTGTACTTGGGCAGCATGTTTGAACAGCTTTAGTTCCTTCTCACTTGTTTTTCCTGTACAAAAGAAACTTTTTTTAATCCATGCATGGTTTACATAGAAACTCCAGAAACTATATTGCTTAAATTAAATTATACAAAGGAAGCTGATGTCTCAGAATAAGTCCCTCACAATTACATTCATATGAATTCAAACATGTTCTTCCTGTGGATCTTAGCAATGCAAACACAGTTATGTATGTAGATGAAGCAGACATTTTACCTCAGTTAAATTACCTGTGTGAGATTTGTAGTAGTCTAACTGCTTGGATTATGTTCATTCTCATCCACCAGAAGGAGACAGATTATTAAATACTTTAATTATATTATACCTCTACTTAAATACAAAGATCTATCCTTTCAGACTTCAACTGTAGTTCCCAAGAAATCTGGCTGACTTCATTCTTTGACATTCAGTAAACACCCTCAAACTACCAATGGTAACCTGAATTCACACTTTGCAGAGAAAATTTGCATTAAAATTTGAACCATTAAAATTCTATTCCTAATGGAAGATGGTCTGGATTGGTATAGTATATTAAAAGAAAGAAAAGGTACATTTAAAGAAAAGAGGGAATTTCCTCTTCAGTTTTTAATACAAATCCAGACATACAAGATCTCCCAATTTGGAACCTCAAAGCAGCTCATATATTAGACTACAGGAGGGATTTGGATTTAATATCTGTTCAGTCCACCCTCATGCCAAAGGCAACCCTTAGTGGAAGCCTGAATATATTTCTGTAATATTTGGGCAAAGGTACATCCAGGTGTCAGTCTGATATTCAAACCTTTAACAAAAATACTGACTTAATTTTTCTGATTCCATTTTCCTTGCAGTAACATAAACTTTCCTGAATAACACCTTAATCCACTTTGATTGAGTAGATTTAGACATTACTTATCTTTTCTTTGGCCCTTGGATCAAAACAGATCTTCACTGAACTCTGCTACTTGCTCTGGGAAAATCTGCAAGGAGCTATGCATGACCTAGCAAAGAATCCTTCTTCCTTTCATATTTGTTACTTATAAGCAGAATGTAAGTAAGGAAATTTGCCTAATTCAGATAAAATGCAAATGGTATTTTAGGCTTAAATTTGGTGTAAATGGAGTTTTTGGACCTTCTCCCTAGTGGCAGAATTCTGGGCCTGGGTTGTTACACACTAGGCTACCTATTTAAAACCTGAAAGAGCTTCCTGGCAGATGTTGCCTCTAACATGGACAAACATAGCTAAAATATTTGAAACTTCTTCTCTTGTCAGTTTGGCATTGATCTGATTTTCAGTCTGGGTGGCAAACAAATGCAACCTCTAAGTCAGGTCCTTTTGAGCTGTAGTCCAGATATCCACAGATCTCATGAGCCAATCATGAAATCATAGAATCATAGAATCATAGAAGTTGGGTTGGAAGGGACCTTGTAGATCTTCAAGTCCGACCCCCTGCCTGGGCAGGAGAAAAAAATGGGCTCAAATGATCCCAGCTAGGTAGGCATCAAGCCTCCTCTTAAAGACCCCCAGGGTAGGAGCCAGCACCACTTCCCTTGGAAGTTGGTTCCAGATTCTAGCCGCCCTGACAGTGAAGTAGTTCTTACGGATGTCTAATCTAAACCTACTCTCCAGCAACTTGTGGCCGTTATTCCTTGTTATGCCAGGGGGCGCTAGGGGAAACAAGGTCTCTCCCAAACCCTTCTGGACCCCCCTAGGGGACCAGATCAGACAGGGAATAGTAAGCCTTTTCCACTACTCCCCAAAGAATAGCCTGGCTATGAAGGATTTTGTTTTACTGCCCACTATTTCAGTCAGAAAAACCTGTTCACTGACATAGGTAATGCTGCAAACCAAATAACGAGGACAAAAATGGGAAGACTATTGTTAGGCTGGAATGTCATATCTGGTTTCTGATGTTTTGCTCATTTTCTCCAACCATTCAACTGAGTGTGGAGAAACATAGACTTCCTTAAAAATTACTCTTAATTTAAACTAAAGACTGACAAAGATCTCTCAGTCCTTTAAAGGGGTCTGATAATGCTCTACCCACTTCTCTGTGACTTGATGTGGTATTTGTGAGTCCTTTGATGGAAGTATATAGCTTTAGTTCTCTCTCAGCATATGTGTTTGTTCTCTGAAACAACTCTGTTAACAATTTGCTTCACTGGCCACTGTGAAAAATGAAGTGAACTTTGATATATCCTTTATTTAGTTTTTCTCTTGATCCCAGTGTACCAAAAAATGTTATTTTCTTCACAGTATTCCTCACTAACATTTTCCAGTATATGTTGCTTTTTGAATTTTGAAAAACACATTAAACAAACACATTTGCTTCAACCATAACCTACAGAAGTTCATAACTTACTTTGCTGATTTTTTAAAATTAAGAACCTTTTTATTGATAGGGTGGCAAGTTCTTTACCCATGTCAGAAGATAAATTAGAATTAGACAAACTACATGTATTATAGTCCATCTCAGAGTTTATAAGCAACCTTAGTCATTCTTCATTTAGCTCCCATCTAGTCAAGCAGATATGACAAAAATAGCCACCAAACACAAAGAAAAGGACAACAAAAATACATACTGGTATATTACAGTGTGTGGGGATACGAATTAAAAAATTTCTTCAGTGTATAATTAACCAGGACCAAATATTTTCTACACATCTAAAACGTCCTTAAATTAGATTTGGACTAATGTGTTTTTAATATTAAGGCCTGTGCATTAGTAAAACAATATGGAAAATAAAGTTTGTGTGAAAGGGGCAAACTCCCAGGCCTGGTCCAATACCAGCCTGCCACCTGTCTATAGGCAAAATGCCAGCCTCACTCACCTGCCATGCCTTCATTGTTAGATAAGTAAAAAGATGGTTTTAGGTGGGAGGCTGCCCTTTGAGCACTGTGACGATGACAAAGGGTGGTTCCTACCTCCCCCTTTTATCCCCCATGCATCGCTGATGACATACAGTTTGTTATAACTCCAGTCTGAGGCAAGGCCAAACTCAGTACATAGTTAGGCCTCTAGCATACTGCCCTATTCAGGGCCTCATACATACCACCCCACTCTTACTGGGGCCTCTGACACTCTGCTGCTCTCACCAGACCTCTCTCACACTGCCCTGTCCTGGGCTGCATACACCTTGCCCTGCTGCCTTATGTCATAAGTGACCATGTGGGCCATCAGGCTCATCTCTTCACTCCTCGGCCAGCCCTGGTGCAGCCTTTTGGGACTCTCCCGCGACCCTCATCTGAACAATGGCTGGGCAATTAGCCAAACTCTGGGCTAACTTCTCCCCTAGCCCCTCACTGGGCCACTTCACCTCTTTCTTGGGCCTTCACTCTGCCCCTACACTGGGGCCCAGGGTCTTATAAGCCTGCAGGCTCAGGTGCCTCTCAGTAGGTGTGCCTGGCTCCAACTCCTGAGTCTTATAGCTGTATGGGCTCAGGTGCCTCATAGTAAGTGTGTCTAGCCCCACTCTGCCACCAATAACCCACCAGATGGTGGGGGCTGGGGTTAAGGTGCCCCTACCCACCTTTCACCAGAGAGGTAACTGACCTGGCATTTCTTGGTGACTCCCTTGCCACTAGGAGTCCCACCAGGCCACCCTTCCCCAGCAGTTTCAGGTCATGCCAAGGACCAGGAGCCTCCTGCCATCCCCACAGCCCCAGCCCTTACCCCCAAGATGTTCCAGGAGCAGCAGCTCAGCCAGGTGGTGTTACTCCCTTGGTGGGTAGCTGCAAACTGCTGCTCCTGCTCTAAAATGACCACTCTCATCAAGCACCTGCTGGCTGCCTGCTCCAGCCCTTAAAGTGACAGGCACACAAAAGGTGCTCTGTCACAGTCTGTATTAATGAAGATCTTTTGGGAAATAAAAGTCAGTTACCATCATCCCATAAAATAGGAAACTGCTGAAAACCCTGTCAGTGATTTGTTAAACTCACTCAAGCCCAATACAAATGAAACCTCATTATTACTGATGAAGAACACACTGCATTTTGAAAGATGTTAATAGCCACATCAATCCTACCTTGTTTAAAATCATCACAGATCACTTTCTCCTGCTGTCTTAAGAAGAATCGAGTGTGGTCAAATTTAATGGCAGCAAACCTCCAACTCTTTGAGGCAAGCATGCCAAGATCCATCAACTCTTTTAGAACAGGGGTGGCGGCAGCTGCTAAGATGTGGTATGCCTGGCACTGGCCCTCTAGTTAACACAAATTAAAAAAAAGGTGATGCAGTTTGGTTACCCCAATGCTGTTGAATAAAGTAGTCAAAATGTCTTCCATAACAACAACAAAAAAGACGTCTTCAAGAAATCTGCAACCCTTGTTAAACTTTTAACTTTTTAATAGTTTCTTAACGAGTTTCAGAAGACACAACTTTTTACGGCAACTGACATACATTCATTTAATGGCACAATGGGAGCTGATCCCTGATCCCAACAACTGTGCCTCCTGCCATGCTACATGTGCATGGAAGTGTGCATGATTTTAGGATCAGGGATCAGATCCCAATGGTGCTATTATTACCTCCCAGTGCAGGGGGAGCTGGACTCCCTCTGAATTGGCAAGTTGAAAGCTGGTTGTCTACAGCCCAGATTAACCCAAACCGTCATGGGGCCAGAACCAACAATCAGCTCATTTTTGGTCTAGTCTCAGGACTGAACTGAGGCCAATTCAACAAGCTGGTGCAGTCTCAAGGCTAAGACAATCAGCTGATTGTTGGTCCCAGCCCCAGGACTGCACAAGAGCCAGTTGCAGACCCCAATGCCTTTCCAGGGCTAGGACCAACAAGGGACCACATTAGGGCTGGCTCAAGACTCTGATGTGGTTCCAGGACCAGGACTGTACCAGTTTTAAGCCACCTCTAGTTCCCCTGCCATATGTTCAATTTAAAGAGTAATGGAAACCAGCCACAGAAATGTTATACCTATTTTGTGAAATATTTTTGTGGCTGGTTTCTGGTTTTGTTGCACCATTACTTCCTTGAATATGTAGCAGAATTACTATTTATGAGGTGATTAACAGGGTAATCACAACTTAATTGTAACACCTGCCAGGGGCTTAAGATACAACCAAGTTTTCATAGCACCAGGTTTCAGTAAGGTAACAGAAAAAGTGAAGAATTTCAATCTACTGCTGATGTTGAATTAGCTGGATGTTATTAGGTGGTCACTACCTAATGTGATTGTTCAGTTGATCACAAGGACAACTTGTCATTTTTTTACTTTTCAGGGTTTATCATTTCATTGCAAAAATACCTCAAACTGACTTGCCAGGTTTGACACATTTCTGTAGCTGATACTCTTTTTTGCTATCTTATGGACTCATTATGATTAGTTAGTATTTGTTAACACTTTAAAGAAGTGGCACATTATGATAAGTGTTCATTATCAGCATCTATAGTTCTGTATTCTTTGTGGTCAAATGCTGTGTTTTTGCTAGTCAACACAATATAATTTAATTAATTCATTAATATATTAACAAATCATTTTCTTTTTAAAGTGCTCTAATATTTCCAGTAATGCACCATTAATGTTTCATTGTTTTTACAAATGTGGTTGCGTGTGGCTTTCTATTCTCTCTTGCATTGGATCAAGTTTGCTTCTGACTGAAGAACTGCTTTATGTATAATGGCACTATGTCAAAATGTCACCATATTTCAGAGACTGGCATGTAACAGTCCATCATATTTTATAGCATCTGAGGATAATATAGGTTGTTTGTGCTGATTGATGAAGGCTTTATTTTCAGTTGCATTGAAAACTTTTGTTTCCTGACTTACAAAGAAAAAGCATCTGGTTTTAGGTCCTGCTTCATCACTGATTATGAAATTTTACATCAAACAAGTCATTGGGTAAAACCAGAAATAATCTTGAGAGTTGTGATTAGCATCCAAGCTCCCCACTTGCAATTAATGTCCAGCAATAAACTCCAGTGAATACTGTGCCAGAGTTTGTTGCTCCTGGGTGCTGTGTTTGAACATGCTCCAAGGCCTGCAGGACATTGAGCTGGGTTGCAGCAACCCCAGCAGGCGGGGGACCCACAGAGGTCAGCCTGATAGCTTGGGGCTTCTTTCACCCGACTCAATGTGCTGCAGAGAGGGAAGCTGAGATACAAGGGTGCTTCACTGTGCGGCTAGCTAGTAGGCAGCCCCTGTATTGAAGAACCCTTGTGCCTCAGCCAGCCCTGTAAGCATCTACATATGCATTGCTGTGGAGCAAGAAACTGTGCTATAGGACAGTACTTGTGTTTACAAGTACTAACCTATTGTGGAGTTAATTAGTTTTACTGCACAAGTAGATGCCAAGATGTTTACTGCAGAACTAATTAGTCTACTCTGCAGTAAACATCTCATGGAGAGGCACCCACAGTGTCATGTTCCTTCCTGCTTGCACTCTTTCTAGTCCCTGGAATCTTGCATTCTTTTCTACCCAATAACAGAGCTCCACAGCAGGGTCAGAGACTGCTTCTCCCAACCCACCTAAGCCTACAGCCTGGTGGTTAGTCAGATCCTGAGATGTTTTTAGCTACGTATTATATGCCCTCCTGATATGCAAACCTATGCATATGCCATTGTTTTAAGAACATTTTCTATTGAGATTAGTCCTAGCTTTCTTCCATTTTCCCTTTTTCTTCTCAAACATCCAAGTGAAGAATAGATGCAAAGCATTTGTTCCTCACTGTTTCAATATACAATATGGGGACTCTTTCTTTTAGTTTGACTTCTAGTATCAGAACTTTCTCAGTTCTGGCATCATTCAAAACTATTTATTTTTCAAATGTTGTTATTATCTGCCAGGCTTGCAATGGAACTTTCTTGGATGGACTCCCACGCACAAAATGGCAGAAGGAACCACCCACATAAACTTCTGCAGCACAAGGACTTGAACACAGAATGAAACTGGTTTCCATATTAGTTTTGTACAGGTAGAAATTATTTTATATAAATCTGTATTCCAATAAAAATAATTTAACTGCTTAAATCAAAAATTTGATACCTGAGGCTTGAACTTGGATTGAAACTCTGTCTTGAGCCTCCTGTTCTGGTTTCTTTTTCAGCACAGCCTTACAAGCAGCCGGAATGTCTTGTTTAAGAATTTGTGAACGCTCTTCTTCATTTTTGAGAACTAAAGCATTGACCATAATGTTGATACATAATTATCACAACAGCCCAAAGAATTAACTATATTTCTTAACATGTATCTCTACTTGCTAATAAGCTCAGGTACCACAGAGCAATAATTTTTGTTTTTACTCTTGAAAAAAGACAATAGTTTATTTTTACCCTTTATATCCCCCAGGTGTTCCTTCTTCCTGGCTGCAGTCACTTGATACAGGGGCCAGATTATGTTTGAAGAAAGTGGCTTCTGTCAGATCTAAAATGCAGTTATTTTTTGTTTGTTACAGAGATCCTGACCCTGGAAAACTTTGGGAAGCTGCCTCTACAATCCTATTGTTTCCACAGAGAAACACTCCTTAATGAGCATTAGGTCAAGAAAGCTGTGGAGTGGAAGGACATTTGTGCAACCACTCATTTATTCAGTGTATGGCATGGCAGGTCTGACTAAAGTCATAAGGAAGTTAGAAATATGAGGGAAGAGAAGGATAATACAAAGGTTGGAAAAAACTTATTTAAAGGAGTCTGTTCTGAAGTAGTCCCTTCATTTCCACTCCTTTGCAGCTGTTCCCTTAGTGTCTTTAGCACCTCAGTAGCTCATTTTTTTCTTTTCCTCCTGCTCATTCCTCTATAAATATTATATGCAAATAACATTCTAAATTAAAAAAAGATTACAAGGGGAATGCAAGGGGGTTTATTTGTTGGGGGACAGTAGATCTTCAATCAATATAGCCACTTTTTAAAAGGGACTTTACTGATCATGTGACACAATAGCATCAAATACTATTAGTACTTAGTATTAAAAATACTGTGAGTATTTAGCATGAAATATTGTTGTATTATTTCTACATGAATGATACAAAATGTCCAGTTTCCCAAGAGCCTATACATTCAGGTATCAGTAATACACAACACTTCAGCTAAATTATAAGCATTTACTACTTCATGATACATTTAATTTATCTAAGCCTCCACAACTCTTAACAAGGATTTACATCTACAGTTATTCTGGACACTGTAACACACCCAGAACATCTGCTTAGAGATGTAGTTCCAGGTAGAGTTCACTAGATGGTAACATTGGACCTCAGTTCAGATGCCTTCATTTTATATGTTTAGGACAGGGATTAACATTTTTATAAGCTCTGAAAGGATTCTGTATGTGTATCAAAGGAAAACAAGAAGAGATGATTTTACTTTAAAATTTGTACCCAAGTTCTTAGAAATAATTAGTTTTCTAAAATTATGTAAGGGTTCAATTAAAATCTGTATTAAGGACTTAACATCCTAGGCCCATTTTATGGTATTATAATTATGACTGAAAAGATTTGCATCACTACCTTTTTTTTTTGCCTAGTGTATAACACTCGCATGTAGGTATGTAAACTTTATTAAAGCTTTGCTAAACCAGACCCTTGCAGCATTTTATTTTCAGTGTGATTTTACTTTGAAAAGTGATTGTATATACATGCCATTGCCTTTCAATGACTTCTTTTGCAAAAGTGCTCAATTAACAAATTAGACTTACTTTCTACCTATTAATCTCATGCTCGGCCTGCAACCTGGGCTTCCTTCTCATGCATCAACTCCCAGCAAACCATATTCTGCCTTCTTCAACTCCTGTTCAGCCTCACTGAGTCATTAGGTTTGCACAAGTTTAAGTGATTGGAACAATTTTGTTGGCAGAAGGGTTGGGGAGGGAGGCAACAAGAGAAGAGGGAGAATCTAACTCACTCTTTGAGATCTACTGGTTCTGTAGGACTAAAAAATAGAAAGCAGCAGAAATTTTATCACAGAAAATAATAGACTGGACAGAACACACACAGGGAGCCAAGCTTGTGAGCAAAGGTACTATTTTCACAATCACCTTTCATAGTGGAGCCTAACTTTAATATATTATTAAGGCAATAAATAAGGTACCACCATAGATGAAATATCACATGAATAGAAATTTCACCAAGTGTTCATCC